AATATTTAACAAATAAATAATCGCTCGACGGGATCAAAATTATGTGGTACTTCATTTGTAGGGGAGATTGTAAAGAAAGTGGAAAGAAATTTTAAAACTGGCTAAATACGGAGTAAGTAATTAGTTAACTCCAAATTTGGGATGGAACCTCAATTTCTCAACAGTATAGAACTCGAAAGGAAAGTCCATAAGTTATTTTCTAATGCATGTGTTGGATCGGTTGAATTGAAGAAGGGGTGCTCATTATCTAGGAGAAACGTGGGAGAGAAGGAGATCAAATTTTAAACTACATTTTAATCGGTAACCTAAATCTTAAATGTACAAAAAATGGGATCAAGATTACACAACTGAAAATGAATCTTCATGTAATAATATTGCATGCACAAAACAGATTCTTCCGAATTATGTTTTTCAGACAATTATCTTATCTGGGCATGTGCTTTGCAGCAGGAAAGATTAATCTTAATGAGAAACATTTTCAATAGAATAAATTGGAACAAATATCATTAAGGATTGGAAGAATTATTCTCTCTCTGTTGATAGAAGGATTCATGTCGCTCGACTCGCCTCTTTGAATCAGGAAGCTCCAGTTCTTCCACAAAATCTTTCGTCATCTTCAAGAAATCCTCCTTGTGCAATTGTTTCCATATCTAATACAATTACAACATATAACAGAAAGTTAGTTAAGAAAATGAAAATATGGCAAGTTTTCAAGAAAAAAAGAACAAATTCTAGAACAAACTTAATAATTGCATATTTGGCAACTTTGTCAAAATAAAGTTTTTATCCACATAATTCAGTAGGACCTATAACTACTACTAACCTCTTATTCACACATTTCGTATGACTCAAAGCTTATAATCTACAAAAAACTTTACCAAACATACTCTAAGTTTACATAAGAGTTGACTCGTACTCCCATTTATGATGGTAAAATATAGGATCTTCAACTAAATAGAGACACTTTGAAAATGAAAATCAAATGATTTCTTTTGCTATACAAAAAAGAAAACAAGTGGATGAAAGACATATTAACTACAAAGCCAGTGTTTTGAACACCAGCCAGTTGAACCGGAAAAATTGAGAACTAATCTGATGCTAGCCTAAAAACCATAAATTGAAAAATAGAGATGAAACCCAGTCAACAGGCTAGCTTTAATAACAACGGTTAAAAGGCAGCAAGGACAGGATAGAAGTTTCCAGGGAAAGCATTTAGCTGAGACATACATGCCCAAAAAACAGCAGAACTGGAAAACTTGCTTATCACCATGTCTATATGCAAGAATAATCCCTGGAAGCAAAAGAAGTTTCTCCCAAGCACCAGTACCGTATTCTGATCTATGCCTTTCAACAAATAATTTATGTTGATAAATCTATTACGTATTGTTTAATGTTCCAGGTAAATCTTTCAATAACTATTTCACATGCAGATCCCTGGCAACTGCTGACCATAGTTTGGCGATTGGGACTTCTCCTTCACCACTTCACTCTCCCCAGCCTTCAAATTCCAATTTATTAAAAGAGAAAAGGAGCATCCTTAAAGAAATGTAAGATATAAAGAAATCTCAAAAGAAAATTATGAACTTAACAATTGATAATGTCAAACGAGTATATGCCTAGCTCTTCAAATTCTTATACTTGATCAGAGATCATGAAGAGGTCTCTACTTGTTATTATAAAGCAGGGGGACATATGCAGCATTCTCAACAAATCCAGAACAAATAATATTGTAAAATGATACTATCATAAAGAATGAATAAATATACTTGAGCAAGGAAGATTAAAATGCATTCCACCCATGTTAGTGTGCATCAAATGCATATTGTTCCTCTTGTGGTCTAATACCCACTCAGCACTATAGTTGTCTGCGTTTGTATACAACTGTCCTGTGCGCTAGGCCTATGCAGGGGAAGTACTGTGTACGTAGCTGAAACCATGAAAGAGTATTTTTGTTTTGAATCATAAGCA